TATATTTGGACTACCCTAGTGTGTTGCTGTAACCTTTTTCTTTTTCTTCTTTCTTAATAGTACTTCCCTTATTAACTTAGTAGGATAAGGTAATGCTTGAACATGGCTAATATCCTGCTAGTAAATGTAGGTTGAAAAGGGGATATACCTAAAGCCTATCCATCACTTCACCAGATATCCTAGTTGATAAACATCAATTCGGTGAACTCCATTAAGCGGTCTAATGATCGCACTTCTCATTAAAATTGATGGGTTGTTTATCAAATTTAGGGATTGAATCTTCAATTATTAACATTTGACAATACTAACTTATTAATTATTATCTTTATCAAAAAAAAAAATCAATTGGGATGTTTATTTTAACCTTTAAAAATAATTATTAATTAATAATTTTAATTAAATAAATTAAATATTTTAAATTATAAATAACAATAATTTTCGATCACCATTCATACAGCCCCTCTATTTTTTTGGAGTTTATAGAATTCTTGGTTTGAAAAAAATGGTAGTAGAAGAACATCAATTAATGTGAAAAAACGAAATTCACAAGATACCATCAAATTTATTGTTGTGGACAAATATGCATTTCTGTGTGCAACCAAAGGCACTCAAACTTTTTCAATAGACCCTTATCCTTTATCGGTTGAATTACGTAATTAAGTCCATAGAATTAAGAATGGTTTTGTTGGAGTGGTTTTCTAAGTGTGATTCATGTGATGATCATGTCTCGTTTATTTAACATATTGAAAACACACGACAAATTAAGAAAGTAGGCAGTTACCCCGAGATCACTCGATTCTAACAAAACAAAAGAACTTAGCCCTAGTTCAAAACTACCATATAAGCCCCTTAAAACAAGAATTAATGAGGGCCGACCACTTTATGATCTAAGTGGTTACTCACCTATATGAAGCTGTGCTATGACCCCAAAATTTGGGTTTTGAACCAATTAACTACAACCCTTATCCCCCCACCCCCAAATATTCCACCTCCTGAGATTAAAAAAAAAAAAAAAACCACTAATGAGAGGTTATTTCTTATGCCTTCTTAAAAAAAAAAAAACCATAAAAAGGTACGTTTAGAATTGTGGTTAGGAGTTTTTTTCTTATAACTGTATGGTGCTTATATATGTTTAGTAATTTTTTAAACTATTTTTTCTAAGATCTATAAAAAAATACAATAAATTTATAATAATTATATATATAAGACCAAAAATCTCATTTTGAAAAATTTTAATTATGACTTTCATAGACGACACCTAATATTTTAAATAATTATAAAATTACTTATTAAAACCTAATCTTATTTAATTCAATTATATCATAATTTATCAAATTTTATTTAAACTTAACCTCTAATTGATTTGAAGATTCCATAAAAAATTAAAAATTCATTTGGGTTACTCTCTCGCGAAATCTAAAGAAACACTTGTGATAAGAAATCTAAAAAACTTAAATTATTAATGAATAGTAAATGTAATATATTTTAGTAATTATACATCATACAATATATTCTAAATTTTAATTAATTATTAATAAAATTTATCATATTTTATTTATAATATTTTAAAAATATAATTAAAAAAAACCAAAATAACTTTTAATTATAATTATAGTACGACACAGTTCAATATAATCATAACTATAACTACAATTACAATTATAGCTATAACTACAATTACAAATGCATTAAAAAACTGGAAGAGCAAGACCATTACCTAGCTCCGGGCTAAAAGGGGAATTTTAATACAGATTGCAAAACCAACGTATAAGCCCACACCAACGCAACATACATGCCATATCTGTAAGTGGGCCCATTTGGACAGCTTGATAAATATCTACAGTGGACGGTCCTGATCTTACAACTTATATGGCCCAATATGTCAATTGGGCCGGCAATATGAAATCTCTCACCTCTATCTCACACTCAACTACAGTGATCCTCACCGCAGCAGATTAGACACATCTTCTCGAAAGTATTTTTGTAAGGTTAAAATTCCTTTTAGGTCCCTCTACTTTAACATATATATTTGTTAGTCTCTTTACTTAAAAAAACTTCTTTTTGGTCCTTAAAGTTTAAAATCCAATCCTTTTTTAATCTCTTTGTTATTTTTGTCTCTTGCGGCACATTATCTTAATTGAAATTTCAAAATAAAGGGATTAAAAAAAAGTTTTTTTTTTATAAATTTGAGGGATTAAAAGGGATTTTTTAAAGTAAAAAGATAAAAAAAGAGTCAAAAAATCTCTTTTTTTGGCTCTTTATTTTGAAATTTTAATTATTTAAGGTATTAATTATATAAAAAGTAATAAAAGGACTAAAAAAAAGACTAAATTTTAAATTTTAAGGATTAAAATTTTTTTTCCTAACCATACAGACTAAAAATAAATTTTTTATTAAAATAAAGGGGCCAAAATAGTGTTTTAACCTTTTCCTAACTTGGCCCCTCAATCCGCCCTCTTCTCTCTCCATAAATATCCATTTGCTCGTCGCGTTATCTCTTCATTGATTCACTCCTTATCTTTTGTAACCAGCTCTGCCATGGCTGTGGCCTCTGCTTCATCTCTAGTGCTCCCCATAAACCCTAAAACCCTATCCTCGTCCAATTCCAGGCTTGCTTCGCCGTCTCTATTTTTCCCATCTCAGAAGTTCTATGCCGGACCCATTTCCGTTTCTCCTCTCTTCGCCTCTCCTGCTCGGCATTTCGAGTCCTTACCCAGGTCTTCTCGGTTTGTCCGCAACGTCGCTGTTTCGTCAGAGTACGAACAAGATGAGGAGGAGCCTCCCAGTTTCTCTCCCGACCTGAAACTCTTTGTGGGTAATCTCCCGTTTAGTGTAGATAGCGCTCAGCTCGCCAGCTTGTTTGAGAACGTTGGAAATGTTGAGATGGTTGAGGT